CCTCACTCTGGAGCACGGAAACCATCAAAACGCCTTCGCCGGGCTAATCCCAGTTCTGGACCCTGTCCTTCGCAGGGCCTTCTACACTTGCTCTGTTTCCTGGCAATTCCGACCTGCAAAGCTGCACACAGTTGAGGACCAGCGTGCTCTAAGGCCCAGCCCAGGGGTCAGCTCCACTGCACCACACAAGGCCCTTCCTTGAGGGGAAGAAAGCCCAGCAGGGCCAGGAGCCAGGCCCCGCCCCAAACATGCAGTGCCCCCACCACGAATCTGTGGGGTTCTCATCTGTGGATTCAACCAATAATGGATGGACAATATTTCCCCCCAAAATTGCATCTGTACTCAACATAGACAGACTATTTTTCTTGTCATTATTCCTTGAACAATAGTATAAGTATTTCCTTAGCATTTATTAGGTTTTATAAGTAACCTAAAGGTGAAATAAAGTCTATAGAAGGATGTGTGTAGGTTATATGCAAATACTACTTACTGCATCTTATAAGGGACTTGAGAATCCTTGGATTTTGGTATCCACAGGGGTCCTGGAACCAATCACCAGTACATACTGAAGACTGACTTACTACAACAGGTGGGCCAGAAGAGATTTTTATTTTGGAGAAAGAGACTCATATGTTTACAACTTGTGAGCTGAAGGCCCTCCTGATCTCTTCCTTAGCATTTCCCTTCAGAGCTGAGGCCTATGGGGAAGTGGGGTATAGACTACTAATGAGTGAATGAATGAATGAACTCAAACCTTTCCATCCCTCCAGCATGGTCAAAGTCCTAACTATTCAACCATTTGCCACAGGTTCATTCATAAAAAGGATGTACAAGTTCGATCCCCGGTACCAAAAAAAAGGATGTACAAGGGCAAGGACTTCTCCCCTCCAAGTTCTCTCCTTTGCACCAGAGGGAACATCAGAAACTCTGCTTGCCTAACTGCAAGCTTCCCATAGTCACTGTGGGAAGCAGAAAACTTCACTCCCCTGGGTTTTATTGTCTGGAAATCCTAGATTCTCGAACCCCTAACTGGTAAGTTACCACCCAGAAGTGAAGTAGAAATAAACGATTGATCAGTCAGTAAATGCTGTGGGAATAGGTCTCCTCACTATAAAGTCACTTGACTAAAAGACAAAATGTCAGTAAGTCTCAGATACAAACTGTGCCCCCCAGAGGGAGGGATGGTCTGTGGGTGGCTTCTTAGGAGCCCTTGCCCTGGGGAAGTGGAGTTGATCCCAGGCAGACCTGTGATCCAGCTGTCCAGTCCGCTTTGTCCCAGAATCTCACCTCAAGGATCCACGGGCCCTCCTTGTCACTCCACCCCCTCCACTCCTCAGTCTAGAAGTATTAGTGAGCAACCACTATGTACCACAACCTTGGCAATAATGGTAAACAAAAGAGATTTACAGACCAGGAGCTGAGAGAGACACTAAAAAGACAAACACATCTAGAGTGAGAAAATGCATTGCCCGATTACCACTTCTGAAATGCAGGCCTATCAATCTAATAGAAAAATCTTCCCGGGCTGGGGATTTAGCTCAGTGGTTCCGGCTGCCTGCCTCAAAATCGCAAGTTCCCAAGTTCGATCTCCAGTACCAAAAAAAAAAAAAAGAAGAAGAAGAAGGAGAAAAATCTTCCTATGTTCTTCACTCTCTACAGGGCTAAAAATAAACAAAAATGAAAGCTGTTATCTTTACTGGGTGCTGGCTATATGTCAGGTACTTTATAATGACTGGCTCAGAACAATTCTCAACCTGTTGCAGATGTATCGTTATAATCACGACCAGTGGGGATTCCAAGTTTCCATTTCACTTCTGCCTGTCCCCACCAGACTCTGAATCCCTTAAGAATTCTATCTTGCCCTTCTTTCCGTCACTAGTCCACCCAGTAGTATTCCACAAATGCCCACCAAATGAATCATCCATCAGCGGGCCAGTTTCCCACAAGGAATTGCCAGCTAATAAGTTCTAGTTGTGAAGTAAGAGGGATTCCCACAAGGGGCTGCTGTGCTGTTGCAGAAGGAGCTGGAGCCCGAGCAAGGACTTGGGGCCAAGGCTTGTTCCTGCAGCTTGAATTTAGACAATTACTTCCTCGTCATCCTGTCTGCTTAAAACGGTAATGAGCAGTTAAATACAAGGAGTCTAAGATGTCTTCCGGATCCAAATGTTTATGCCTCTGTGATACATAAGGAAGGGGGAAGGGACGTTGGGGAGGTATTTGAAATTGCATTCAGTCTGCAATTTCTTTCTTTTTTCTTTTTTTGGAGGGCTGGAATGGAACCCAAAGCCTCATGCATGCTAGGCAAGAGCTCTACCACTGAGCCTCATCTCCGATTTTTTTTTTTTAATCTTAGAATGACATCTAAAGTTAAACATATTGGGGAGAGTGAATAAGACTGTCAAGGGTAAGAAGGCACTTCCTCTCCATCCACAGCTCAGTGGAGTGTTTACCCTAACAAAGTATATTCATTCCTGGGCCAGGGATTTAGCTCAGTGGTTCCACCGCCTGCCTCGCAAGCTAAGGACCTGAGTTCGATCCCCAGTACCAAAAAAAAAAAAAAAAGTCACTGAACAAAGTATATTCATTCCCCATGACCAAAGTGCTCAGCCTTGAAAACTCCTTTGTAGAGAAATACATGGGTGAGCACGAGGAAGGCTGCCAGCCCCAACTGCGCACAAGAACAGAGATGCTGGTGGCATGCAAGAGCCATGTCCATATGCTGGAGAGGGACAAAGCCACTGCTTTCAAGTCCCACCAGCTCCTGTGAGAGATGACAGGTGCACAGCAACAGCTGAACGTGTCCAAGGCAACTGCAAACACAGTGTGGTGACTCCAGGCTGCGCCTACCAGAGAGCTCACCACACAGTGAGTGTGCATCTGTTTGCTACCCAGGGAGAGCACAGGGTAGGGGCAGGGGCTCCGTGAGGAGACGAAGCTGCTCTTTTCCTTCTTGCTGCTCGGGTTAGTTTTAAATGAATTCCTGTCTGTCAGCTATGGCACAACATGGGGACAACACCACCATCTTTCCACCTTCTAGGGCTGTTATGAAGATTAGTAGAAATCAATTTATCCGTACAGACTGACACCCGGTAAATATTCAGCTTGTCACCAGGGGTAGTGATGGTGGTAGATAAATCCACCTAAAGTTGGGAAATTCAGCCTTGAGCTGTTTAGAATCCCTCGAGAGTCAAAAGGGAAGCAGATGCTCCTGTGATGGCTGCTCCTGGAGCATCCACTTAAGATACTTTCCAGAAGACAAACTGATGCCACAACCACTCCTTTGAAGGGCCAGAGCTTGCCAGGCGTGCTGGGCCCTGTGTCTCAGGAAAGGTCAGTGGGTCCCTGTAGGGCAGAGGCTTACAGGCACCATCAGGAGATGAAACCAGGCAACAGAGTCCTGAGACAAGAACTTCCCCCAGAAGAAAGAGGAGAGGAGGGGATTACAAGCACAGAGAGATACCACTGTCCACCCAAGAGACTGGCAGAACTGAAAAGTGGATCCAAGGTACAGCAGGGGGGTGAGAAAACAGGAAACCTGGCACCCAGCTGCTACAGAACAACTGGGTCATGTTCATTAGGATCTTAAAACAGCGAGACTCTCATACCACATGTACACTACATTTTGCTACAGTATAAAAACGAGGTGGATTCACATGTACTGTCTTGAAAACATTTTAAGACCCATTACTGAATTCATAAAAGGGCTACAAAATAGATCAACAAGCATAGCATGTATTTTTTAAGTAAGGAAAGAATAAAATAACTTTTTTCTATATATCTGGACATCGAGAGAAAGCTCTGGAAGAAATGTACAGGCTATGTGCATCATGTCTATGCACTACGTAGATCATGGCAGTTACTTCAGGGAAAGGCAGGAGTACGGTGGGGGCCTGGAATGAAAATGGGATTCAGTGGGGACAACCATTCTTATTTTTAACAAGGAAAACAGATCTGTGCATTTCTTGGATACTAAAATTACATTAAATTTAAAATGTATTTTGAAGGAAGAAAAAGAAGAGCCAGGGACCCCAGATCCAGGCATGGTGCTGTATACCTGTGATCCCAGCACTCTGGAGGGCTGGGGCAGGAGGATCACAAGTTGGAGCCCAGACTGAGCAACTTAGCAAGACTCTGTCTTGAAATAAAAATTAAAAAGGGCTGGGGATGTAGCTCAGTATGAAGGTCCTGGGTTCAATCCGCAGTATCACCCGAAAGTAAATAAATAAATAAAAATGAGGGCAGAAGGAAGAGGAAGCAATTGTGATTCCAAGAGAAGCTACAGCTGCTGAGGAACCAAGGAAGAGTTCAGGGTCTGCCGGGGATTTAGCTCAGTGGTTCCGCCGCCTGCCCTACAAGCTCAAGGACCCGAGTTTGATCCCTGGTACCAAAAAAATAAATAAATAAATAAATAAATAATAATAATAGGAATAATAATAATAAAGTAAATTTTTTTTAAAAAAGAGTTCAGGGTCTGCTGCTGGCTCCTCTTAGAAGACTGGCTGCTCACAAATGCAGGCAACATTATGAGCATATGCCATGGGCTATGGGAATAAATGACCATAGCTTTGGAATAAAATATTTAAATCTCTATTACATCCGTTCTATTTATACTAACTCTTACTTCTAAGTCTTAGAAGTCTTCAGGGCTGGGGATGTAGCTCAGCAGTGCAGCGCCTGCCTGGCATGCACGAGGCCCTGAGTTTGGTTCCCAGTACCAAAAAAGAAAAAAACAGTGTCTCCTGACCTTTGTTTTAAGAAACTGGAAATGAGGAGGGAAATGTGTGATATTTTTCTATCTCTGAATTCTTCTCTACTTTTTATTTATTTTTATGGTGGCAGAGATTGAACCCAGGGCCTTGTGCATGTTAAACAAGTCCTCTACTATTGGGTTCCATCCCTAACCCCATGCTATTTCCAAATTCTCTGTGGTTTCTTCTGGATTTCATTTAATTATTCCATGAAAGAATTTTAATTTTTAAAGATTTTTTTTTTTTTTTTACCTTTCCTTGTTTTCTTCCAGTCCTCTACAGACACACTGATTCATTACTGTGGAGCTGTCCATGGACTCAGTGTGGCAGGCCCAGGTCTTCTTTCTTAAAAAGCAAAACAGCCAATATTAATATGTACAACCAGCAACTGGATATATTACATTACAAACACAGAGCTGCATTAGACACAAGGGGAATGTGTCAAAGGCAACCCAATGTCCACTCAAATCCATTCTCTTCTTCCATAGTCATAACCTGTGTTGAGCATCCTAAATCCCAAAATCCAAAATCTGAAATCCTCCAAAGTCTGAAACTTCTTGAGCACCAACACGATGTCACAAATCAAAAATTCAGGGGCTGGGGATTTAGCTCAGTGGTTTCGCCACCTGCTGCGCAAGTGCAAGGACCCAAGTTCGACCCCCAGTACCAAAAAAAAAAAAATTCTATCACATGAAATATTTTTTCATTCACAAAACTATTAAAAATATTGTACAAAGTCAACATTGGGCTATGTATATAAAGTATAGATGAGTTCTGTTTAGGCTTGGATCCCATCTCCAAGATAACTCATTGTTATGGCTTGTGTCTGATGTCCCCCCCAAAGCCTCGTGCCACCACAGGTGGGGCTTTTCAGAGGCGGCTGGATCTAGAGTGTATGATGCTGAGATTAAGTATGTGATGCTGGGATCAAGGGTGTGTGATCACTAAATTAGTTCACTGATTGGTTTGGCATAGTTCTGGGTAGGATTAGGGCTGCCTCACCCTAGGTGTGAGGTGCTACCCACCCTAAGGTAGGTATATAATGAATGGAATATAAGGGACAGAAAGAGGCTCATTGCTTGTCTCTTGCTTGCTGCTGGCTGCCTTCTATCTGCTCTGCTTTCCCATAAACTGCTTCTCCTGGGTGATGCCCCTCTGCCATACCACCCTGCCTTGGAGCTGGCTGATTATGGACTAAAACCTCTACAAACTGTGAGCCAAATAAACTTTTCCTCCTTTAACTTTGGGTGTTGAGTATTTTGTCTCAGCAACAAGAAAAGAAACTAAAACACTCATGTATTTGCAAATATTCCAAAATCTGCAGAAATCCAAAGTATTCCAACTCTAAGCATTTAAAATAAAAGATATTCAATCTGTATTTGAGCTTTATCAAGGACTACATTTCACAGGCATCCTCATAAACTAGGCAAAAGTCAGTATCTGAGTTCCTAATAGAATGTGATAACAAGTGACTTTTGCCACTTCTCAATCTATGTCTTAAGATAAGTGCATGCTCTGTCTGCCTTTCCGCAGAGTGGAGCCTCGCCATAAGAAAAAAGGGACCTGGGCCTCTGACTGTGTGGAGCACAGGCACCCCTCTCACCTTGAACCTGCTACTTAGACATCAATATCTTTGTTCTTTACAGCAGTGCTTTATAGGGCTGTGCTCATTAACCTCCATCCAAGTTGGATCTATGATTAAATATTCTCCCCAGGGCTCTTCTTACGGTGGGTTTGGTTATTTGGAGCTTGAAGCATGTTATGTCCATAGAGACAAATTATGCAAAACTATTCTTGGTCACAATTTCAGTAAACTACATGCAATTTCATGAGGGCCTGCTGCAGAGTACGTACTCAGTCAGTATTTAAGGAATGGGGCGATGCCAATAAGCATGGGATATCTTCTAGCACGAAGATTCTCAAGAGCAGGGCACCTCACATGAACTGAGGAGCACCTGGGGGCATCTATAAGCATGACTGTGGCATCACAAAACACCATCCAAATACACATGGTACCCACAGTTAAGGGTACAGGCTGACGTGCTCCAGGGAACAAAGGTTGACAGAGAGATAATGGCAGAGAGGCAGAGCTACAGAGAGAGCATGGGGGGGGTACCCCTATTCCCCTCCCATTATTCCCTTCCCTGAGCATTAGCGTGGGGTGGGGGAGGTCTCTTTAAACAACAACATGACCCCTAACACAAAACACAAGGCAGCTAATTCATCTGACGTCAACCAAAGAACCAGCTGGTGGCTTCACTCTAGAAAAGCTGGCTATGTAGATCGTACTGAGGGACAGTGTGCTGGTCTCTAACCCAAAGCTTCCTAGACAGAGGTTCTGGAGTAGTGTTAACCACGGCAGCACCAGCTGTTTTGACTGTTGGGCATCACAAGCATGCTTGGCCCCATTTCTGGCCTCTCCTCCTGCACCTGCCCCCCCCGTGGGTCTGGCTTTCTCCCAGATGAAAGCACCATTAAGATAAACTTGCAGGTCCATGTGAGCAGACCAAAGACTTGAGTTGCCTGAACCCTAAGGCACTGGGCAGTCGGTGGCTATTGCTTCCAGTGCCATTCTTTGATTTAACTTGCAAAGTTCAGGTCTTGAGATATTTTTGACATGTGCCTCCCTGTCTGGGGCCACTGCTCTGGCTTCCATCACCACTAACTTCAGCAGCAAAGGCATGGGTACTGTGGAGGGGCCTGGAACAAGGTGAGAGTGAAGAAGTGGATCCTGGAAGGACAGGGAATGGGCCGTGGGACCTGAGTGCAGAGTTCTCAAGGCATCGCCACAACCCCACTGCAAAGGGTGACAGGGAAAATGAAGCCGTCCATTGAGGGTCACACTTGCAGCGGTGAACACCACCATCTACCCCCTTTCTGCCTAAAACTCACTGGAAGCTCAGTGTCCCATGCAACTTCATGCCTCATCTCAAAATGGTCCCACAACAAGGCTCTCCTCAAAGCCACATTTCCCAAGGACCCAGGAGAGGGCAGAGCCTGCTCTGGAGGGGCCCTGACCCCCGTGTTGGAGTAGGTATTCTGCAGACAGCCATCCACAAACCATGACCCTTCAGCATATGCCTAGGAGCAAGGACTAGGGCACCCATCTCTGCACCCTGCCACTGAGCAATGTGGAGGGCCAGGAATCCACAGAATGATCTCCCAAAATTCTCAATCCAGCCCTAGGAGGCAGATACTGTTCCTGGCTCCTCCTAAGAATCAGGAAACTGGGCACAAAGAAGTTAAGACCTGGCAACAGCTGCATAGACTGCACATGATAAAGCTGGGACTTGCCCAGGCATTTGACCAGGGAGTCTATTCCTACTGGCTATATAGTAACGCACACGGTGAAGCTCAGTTGATGAATCAATCAATCAATTGCAGTTTCAGGGATTGGAGCCTTAGCATTTATGAGCCTGACTCTGACCTCAGTCACCCTGGTTGCCAACCAAGCGAGTGGTATCCTCAGTCCCTCAGCCCCCAAACACTCTGAGCCCAGCCAGGCGTGCCAACTTCTGACCATTGTTGGTATCAACCTAGCCACTCTGCAGCTCCTGTTTAGGGGCAGTAAACTTGGGACTCGCATCCACCACAGGAAACCAGGGTTCCACTTGTTTTGTAGAAAGCAAAACCAGAGCTCCAGGACACTGTGACTTGCTGCTGGTGGTCACAGCACTCAGAAAAGAGTAGTTTTCAGGCTTTGAGCCGCTGACCAGTCAGCCTGCGCTTGTCCCCACCACTCACCGTGGTTAATCTGAAACTTACAAAGATGAGATAAACACTGTTCTACTCTTCAGGCAGAAGTTCCGTATGAATCCCAAGTTCATGAGTATTTCCCATCCTATCACTTCCACAGACAAGGAATTCTGATTCTCCCCAGCTAGGAACCGGCACCGCTGAAACCCTCATCCTTTCCACAGCTGGCTGGATGGGCATGGACCTGCATTTGTTGTGCACAAACCTCTGCAAGGCACACCCGTGCCCCTGGGTAGCAAGTCCTGTTAATTCTTTTAAAATCTCCCTTCCCAGGAAGCACCAAGTGTCGGTGAGGATGGAAGCAAGCAGAACCTTAATACTGCTGCTTCAGGAGCATAGATTGGTCCAACCGCCTGGAAAAGCTGTGGCAATATCTAGTCAACTTTTCTCTTGGTACAACTGAGCCTTGAGACATATTCTAGACCAGTGATGGCGAACTGTTTAGAGCTTTCAATGATACAAACAGCCTGCTCGCTGCAGCACGTGTGCCATAGGTTCACACCATTGTTCTAGACGGTTCTCAGTAGCTCTATGCATAACAGTCCTCTAACAGATTCCCACTGCTGCTGTAACGAATGACCACCAACTCTGTGATATAAAAAACACAAATATCCTCTCACAGATCTGAAAGCTAGAGGTGGGTCTAGATGTCCCAGTAGGACAGCACTGCCACAGGAGGGCGTAGAGAAGGCGTCATTCTCTTGTGTTCTCCAGCTGCCCTGTTCCTCAGCTTGTGGCTTCTTCCTCCATCTTCAAATCTCCTCTTCTCCCACTCTGCTTTGTCACATCTCATTCTCAGAACCTGACTCACTTGCTTCCCTCTTACAAGGACATTGCTACACTGTTCCCTCCAGGACCAACTTCTGTGGTAAGAGTCTTTACTTAATCATATCTGCGAAGTCCCTTTTGATTGGTCCCTTCTCTGGGCTGGGGTACATCATCCAGAGCTTTAAAAACCAGCTCAGGGGGCTGGGGATTTAGCTCAGTGGTTTCACCACCTGCTGTGCAAGCTCAAGGACCCGAGTTCGATCCCCTGTACCAAAAAATTTAAAAATTAAAAAATAAATAAAAACCGGCTCAGTCCCCATACTCTGGGAGGCTGAAGCAGGAAGATCACAAGTTCTTGAAACTTAGTGAGATTCTATCTCAAAGTAAAAAAAAAAATTTTTTTAAAGGGTTGAGGATGTAGCTCATCCCCTGTTCTGCAGGGCTTGAAATGCAAGCCACACTATTTGGAATAAATTGCAGCAGTCACGTGTTCATTGCTAATTATATCAAATACCTCACTCTCTCCTGTCCACACAGAGAACACCTTAAGGTCTTATGCAGCCCCTGTCTTCCAGGCTCCGTCCACATGTGACTTCTTCCTATGCAGTAATGACCACCACTGCTGCAGACAGCTTCTGCAGAGCCTGTGGCATGCTCTGGATTCCTGCTCCTTCACATCTCACTCTCTTTCTCCCGCCTGATGAAGGACTGCTATCATGCTCCCTCTTTCGAACAGGAGATGACTGAGGCCCTGAATGGATAATTAACTTGCTCAAGGTCCCAAAGCTCA